GAGCCGATATATTTGGATCTTAAGAATCTGTTGCACTGTTAAAATCACCTCCACATGAAAATCTGACAAAAGAAATTGAAAGTAGTAACATTTACGCATTTGTTTTCATTTCATGTAGATGTGTTTTTATTTATTAAACGCGTATGAATCTTTTCAATTTTCGGCATTTAGCAGCTGAAAAAAGTCTGAACGATGTTTGACAAGAGAATTTTGATAAGTAGTCTTGTTGAAATTAATAAAGAAATAGTTGCTAGCAATTTTTTTACAAGTAGTAACTACCCATTGTGAGTAGCTAAAACACACACAAACACCCGCCATACACAATTACACACACACACACACACACACACACACGCACACACACACACACACACACACACACACACACACATATATATATATATATATATATATATATATATATATATATATATATATATATATATATATATGGTTTATTTATTTAGATAATTATTTGTGTTTTCGATAATTCATAAACAACCTGTATGTATATAGTTGGAGTGATAATAATATTGATTAGTTACTGTTTTTAATTTTTAATGTTTCTTTTGTCGGTTTTTACTAACTTATTGATTTCTCTTCTATGTTCGTTTCGCAAATCAAAAGAAACATTTTTAAATAAATTGAATGTTTCATTTATTAAACTCACTGCCACGTCTTATATTGATTCGATAAGTTAGTTGATTCAGTACAGACACTCTAAATCTCCAATTACTTTTTTGTCTCATTGATGATCCAGTTGAATAAAATTTTGTTATTTTATTGTTGTCGAACTTGTTTAACTGGCGAAGAGTAGAGTTGTCATCCCTCATTTGAGTTCTCGTGTCAGCTCTCTTCTTCAAGCTACTTGAAACATTCTCACGGCCCAGCGTTCGAAAGATTTAAAAATGTCCACAGAACAAATGGTCATCGAAATAATATGTATGCCCTAGTTATATATATATATATATATATATATATATATATATATATATATATATATATATAGTTTGGAATCTAATATATGCTGATGATATCGTTTTAACAGCCCCGTCTGAGCTGAGTACAGCACAGATGTTTGAAGATTGGAACACCAGACTCGCCGATCATGGATTCAAAGTCAACATCAGCAAAACCAAAGCAATGAACACTGGTGAACCCATCCAATCCACAGCTACTGGACGATTGCCCTGTTCAGTTTGTAAAGCTGGTGTAGGTAACAATTCAATCAAGTGTCAGCAGTGTAACCAGTGATGTCACAAACGTTGTTCAAAAACAGTTGGTAATTTGTCTAATGTGTCCAATTTTGTTTGTCTTGCTTACATCAATCCACAACAACAAATTCGAAATGGCACTGTTTTTGAAGCCATTAAGGTAGAGAAAGTCACATCGTTTCAATATCTATGGGATGTTCTGGATTGTACTGGAACAGCTGAAGCTGCCGTTCGAGCACGCATACGTGCAGCCTGGAATAAATGGCATCTCCTTGCCTCTATGTTGATGCGGCGTGACATCCCATTACCACAACGTTCAAGATCTTATAAATCTGTGATACGTCCGGTCTTGTTACATGGTGCAGAAACATGGCCAATGACAACCAAACTGGAACAACAACTTCAACGAACCGACATGAAAATGCTCCGATGGATGCAACGAATTAGTCTGAAGGACCACATCAGATCTACCGAAATCCTGCGTCGTGCTGGTTTAGATGATATAAAGGACGAATGCCGGCAACACCGTCTGCGGTGGTTTGGTCATATCAAACGAAGTGGAAACAGTGCCATAACTTCTCTTGCAGATGTTGAAGTACCTGGCACACGTCCCAAAGGCCGTCCAAAGAAGTCCTGGTCGCAAACAATCGAGCAAGACATGAAAGCTCTAAATTTAAATGAAATGGATACAACTGATCGTCTAATTTGGCGCAAAAAGTTGATGGCAAAGAAAACAACGTCCTACCTCATGGAACTGGGTCTCTGGACGTTAAACGAAGATAGATATAGAGTTTTGATTTGATTAATTTTTAATTTTAACATTATAAAAGCTGACTTGGTTAGTTTTTTTGTAGCTGTTATGTTTGTTTTTCTGTTTGCATTTGTTTCGTTACTCAATAATCTTAATATAAATTTGATTGAAAACGATAGTTGCAACAGTCATTTAATCGAAATTCCTTTTTAGAATTTTCCCACTATCTTGAAATTCATGAATTTGAAATAATGTGAACCCTGTAACATTTTCTGTCCCAAATGTTTAGGTCAACAATTTCTTGACCTATTAGTTAATTTTTTGGGCCGCACCACAAATAACCGAACATTTCCTATGCTAACCGTATTTATCTTTATATCATAATTAGGTATATTTATGTTTCACAAACTCTATAAAACGCCGGCATTCTTCTAACAAGATCAGTTAATGTCATAGATATATATATATATATGCATATTACAAAATATTTGTGAAAAAAGACATTGTTATTTATTTATTTTGGATCCCAAATGATCCCAAAAATAATTTTCATTTTCACAAATAGACGCCAAATCTTTTTAGCTCGCAGGCAAATTATTTAAACATTGCAACGGGTAAAAGTTGGTCACTCAGTAAGTGTCCTTTGAATGTAATACTTGTAACATTAATTCTGCGGAGATGCAGTTATGAGATGTAAAACGAAAATTTTGAAAGTTCCTCATCAAAAAGACATCTTAATAATAAAAATTATGATTTGAATAAACATAAATATAATATTAGTTTAATATACAATTAATTTTTGTTTATTCCATTAACAAACGCATTTAATTGCGATTTTATGCACGAACATTACAATATCCATTAACATTCCAAACCCAAACAATTATTTTTTTATTAAAAAGCAAAAAATTGTCAGGTGGCCAGCGTAAAAACGCGGCAGATGTTGTGACTTGCTGCAATGTTCATTCATACATGCTGAAGGTTTTCAATTTTGCGCTGCTGTCTATCTCGTTGGTTTCGTGCGTTACCGCACCGTATATCATGTATTCGTATTTGAATACTGGTTGTAGCATGTTGAAACTGTCGTTTGAGGTTGTTGTTAAATCTCTGCTGTTGCGCTTCTTTGTGTTGGTGGAAGGTTAATGTGTTGATGTACTGGTAATTATTAAGGATTATTTTCACCATCATATCCGTTTTACGGTCTCACATCAGTGTGGTACTTTTGTTTTATAAAGTGAGAACAATTTAAATGGTGCTGGCTGGAATTTATTCGCAGAATTAAAAACAATCCCAATCTCAAATGAATGCTGTTGAATTTTCGTGCGTTACCAGTCAGCTATTTGGTAAACTTCTTTGATAATTGCATTCGACATGACTGTTGCTACTAAACCAAAGCAAAACTCCATCACATGAAATCTGCAGGTTTATCAGCATCAACGTCAGCAGCACCATCAGCGTCTCACATCTTCTAAGCTAATACATAACCAGCCTAAAACTCATTTAGGCGTGCTAACGCCGATGTACGACCGCCCCAAGCCATACAAAACACAAAAACATTACATCACATCACGCAGACCATGAATAGAAGCACAAACTCACAACCCACTAACGCAGGCAATTTATGCTTAGGACGCACTTACCTACAATAAACATACACAAAACGGAACATCCATAGGCAACTTTAAAAAATATTCGCTTTTCCATATAAATATTTACAATTATCGTCAAAAAATCCAACATGGCCAAATTGGTTGCCAAAAGAAAAGCACGCTCGAAATTTAAGAGATATTCATTCTGCTGAAAAATTTAAAGAACACTGGTTGAGATGTGTTTCAATTTTTATTTGGAATCAAATTTTTTTCTACTTTTCAGTACTTGAAATGTAGTATGGGGCGGCGTTGGATCCAGAATCTTTCGTTGGTTGGAAGGGATTATTTTCAAAACTATAAAGTGGATGACTATATTTTTGCTTTTTGCTAATTTTGTTTTAACTTAGAAAATACTACATAAATACTGAATTATCGCATAGTTTTTCTTACAAAACCGTCAATTTTTTTTCTTTCATGGCCTTGTCCTGGGCCCGCCACTGGCTGGTTATTGTACATTTAACCCTATTTAGGTCATCTACATGAACGTGTAACATACGGCATGCATCATTAAAAATTGTGTCTTTGTAATGTTTGTTGTGATTTATAATGCAATTATTCTTATTACGTACATAATCATTGATTCCTTACGTGCAAGCAAAATAATAACTGAACCAGACAGTTCGACGACAACAACGACAACAACAACGACAACAACAACCAAAACGACGACGACAACAACATCAATAACAACAACAGCAACAACAACAACAACAAAGATCAGGTTGCATTCGATATAAATTTCGTTTCTTTTACTTTTTTTGAAAATTAAATTTTCAATGGTTGATGAAAAGATGAAAGAAGAGTGTCGGCGATTTATTTAAAAAACTATCAAAAACTTTTAAAATAAATTTCAATTGTGTTTTTTCTTTTCAACAAAAACGTTTTTTTCATTTAAAAAGTTTGTCTGAATTTATGTCCTACTCTTAAAAAAATATAGGCTGGTGCAACATTGAAACGATGCTGTATGAAGGAAATGGCGTGTAGTCTGCTATTTCCAACGTGCATGTACTTGGAACAAGCAGGCCTAGCAGCATCACATACACGTCCAGAGGAAACGTTCTCAACATGATTTTTTTTTTATTCTTTAAAAATCAGGATCTGACAGACGCAGAAACTGTAACAACAGAACAACAGAGAGAAGTTGAACCTACAATAACGTGCCACACTAAAGTTGTAATGGCACACTGGATAGCGACGCATTATACAGCAACACATTCTAAAGCTAGACGTCATACAACGACTCGATATAAAACTACACACCAAAAAACAACAAACACACCATTCAAGCAATGTCGAAATACGCAAAAAACACGTGTTACAAAAAACATATCATAAAACGACTGATCATGCAACAAGAAACCATGCACCACAAAACAACAACATACCACAACAACACGCCACAACAACACGCCACAACAACACGCCACAACAACACGCCACAACAACACGCCACAACAACACGTCACAACAACACGCTACAATGCAACACAAACATAACAACACACAACATCGCTAACGCCTAACAAAGCATTGCAAACAATTTACAACATTCAACCAACAACAACATATGCGACATGTTGAACAACACGGAATATCGCGCTCTTCCATTATAACTTCAAAGGTTCAAGAAATGGTTTTCCATTAAAAAAAACATCCAAAACTAAAAGAACAGACGTAACAAATAATATATCGCAACTAATTTCGACCATAATGTTACTAACATGACGTAAACTACTACGTTGATACAAACTTCGATATAAACGGGTATTTTCTTCTACTATGTTAACTCCGACGTATCAACGCCATAACCTCCTAGCATAAAACAGCGTATAACACAACGTATAACACAACGCAACGTAACGTAACTGCTGCTTGGTTATAAGTTATTCATCCGATATCTATTATCAAATTACCCATTGTCTTTTAAATCATTATTAAATATTAATCCTAAAAGAAGAAACCAATTACAGAAATGCTGCCAACCACTACTACTGCAACCACTACTGCTACTACTACTACTACTGCTGCTGCTGCTCTTTCCTCGTTTCTTC